TTTATCTGAAAATTGATTTTACTATTTGTGTCAGATTAAAAGTTATATGATCTGTCAGATCATATAACTTTTGTCTAAACACATTTTCGATTCGATCTTATTCTATCTTATTCTTTAAAGTAAAGGGATGATAGATTAGAAAGAGACAATATATAATCAAATATTTTGTTTAAAACTGTAACTTGTTTAACATTTTTAATGCGCTATGCATTTATTTTATAATATGTTTTGCATAATTACTATAAATTTTATTTTACAGATTTATTAATAACGAATGATAACAATGATTTAACTTGTGTAAATGTGTCAAATGTGAATCTTATTGAAGATGTATGGATAACAACTGAGTCTTGTGATACAGAAGAAAATAATACACGTCGTAAAGAACTTGATAATTTAACCATACATAAAAATATGAACGCTAATACTGAAATTGAAAGTAATGAATTCTCTAAAAATTTATTAGAACTGAAGCATATTTCCAACAAAGCTGGGAATTCTAAGGATATAAATAGATTTTCGACATTTACAAAAGAAATTGACGAAAGAAATATTACAAACAATAACGTGCATTTTAATACTTGTAACATTGATAATACTTCTTCAGAAGCAAATAAGACAAATGACATTGATAATACATTATTAAGTCCTACATTAGAGACTTTCGCTCCACTTGCAGAATCTACGTTTGCAGAAAAATTAGCCACTAAATGCACGACAGATAGTAATGATATCGAGTCTAGTGCTATTATATCTAAGCATAACATGGATGATAGTTTCCACTTGTCAGAGTGTTCTATATCAGAAGACACGGATGAAAATGAAAATAATGATAATAAAGAAAATAATGATGAGACTAATATAAATGTAAATGAAAGTACAAAAAGTACGTTAAATCTGACATCCTCATTATGCAAATCTAAAAAATATATATGCAATGATAGAGATATGTACGTCAAAACATCTCAGGATCAATTAAAACCAAGCATGTGTCCCTATTGTAAGAAATTGCAAACGCAGTTTGCGAGACATTTAGAATCAGTACATAAAACTGAAGACGTAAAAAAGTTTCGATTTCTGCCTAAAGGTAAATCATATATATTTAAATTTTACCTAAATTATATATATTGAAGATAAATGATATATATATATTTTACTATGACTTAACCTAATTTTATTAGAAACTTTGTATATTTTAGGCAATCCAGAACGAAAAAAAATTATTGCAATAATTAGAAAAACAGGAAATTTTATGTATAATACAAATCCTAATTTAAATAATGGAGAGTTAATTGTATGTCGTCGTCCAAGAAAACAACTGAAGAAACAAGCAACTGATTTTATTCCGTGTGCAAAATGCAAAGGTTTTTTTACCAAGAATAATATCAGGCATCATTTCAAGTCATGTGCACAGAATATAGAAAATCGTCAAAGAAATGTAAAAATATTAGGGCGTACTGTAGCCTGTCGTATACATAATAGCGCATCTACAATACTAAGAAGATTAGTATTTCCAGTGATGAGAGAAGATAGCATAACACAACTTATTAGATATACGAATTGCTTATTGCTTATGCTAATAAAATGTGCATGAAAGATCGGAAGAGCACAC